TTGAGTTTATCTTTGAAACTTATAGGCACACAGATTAAACCTGTGTTGTTAATTTTGGAAAACACGACTGAAGCTACATTGCTTCCCTTCAGAAAATCTACATTTTAACCAACTTACATGACATTCTAGGTTACGTTGACTTTATCAGATGAAAGTTTGTAGTGCATTTCACCAAATAAAAAATAAATGTGAAAATCATAATTTTCAACACAAATAATAGTCTCGCTACCTTCAGTCAGTATTTCATTTATATGCGAAGACCTTGAGTTAATATTACTGTTTTCCGATCAGAGTGTCTAGATGTTTTTATTTTGAAAAGTACATGACATGTTCACGCCATAAAACTATATATGTGCCGATGAGATGGCTTGCTATTACTGTGACAACGATAAGTCTGAACACGATCATTTATACTACAAATGGTCGATTATATTATATATAGATACACAGACTACGATTTCATGTTTATGTCAAATACTAATATTCGTCATATGTTTTTATTGACTTTATACCACTTATCCAGTGTGTTTAAAAAATGAAACAATTTGGAATGTTCTTTATTGAGATGACACCACATGTGATCTGTGAAATATGAATCAAATACTAACAGCAGTATTGTTCAGAAATTACTTATACCACTGTAATGACGACGAATTGTTAATCAGCAACAATACGTAATGCTATATACTGATACAAAAAAATATTACAACGATGAAAAAAATCACGTCAAATAACAACATAGCAATAAATCAAAGTTCAGTCTTTCTTTTTAATGATGGCGGAATGTATTTCTTTTCTGGGGCTTCCTTTCCAGCTACTGTCACTCTGTGCAAAACTCGTAGACCGATATGTCTACGGGGTTTTTGAGATGATGGCGGCGCCCAATGTGCAACAGCCTGGTTGTCGGATATGATAAAATCACCAACTTCCCACTGTAATATACAATATAGTAAATATAGTCATTGGACATACAGAACACTACTTCACTATGGTATGCTAGTGGAATACGATGCACCAAGATACTAATTTCGTAATGTACGAACTGTTACTAAAACTTATCGCATATTTGTCATCTCTGCCCAATGAGTGCATACAACTACAAAACAACAACAACAACATCAGAAAACAAAAACAAACAATGCTACCTTGTGAATGTATTGTAGGTCTTTGAGGCGTTCTGTTAACACGTCGTATATTTCTTTACGAATCTGCGAAGTTTCTTTTGGTTCAGTTAGACGTCTTGTTTTACTCTTTCCTCTGTCCCACTCAAAGGCAACAGTGTAGGCAGTAGGTAAAAAGAAAACCTACGAGTTGGTACCAAACATATAATACAGTTGCATGACAAGATACTTTACATATTCGTCAATGGTCGCCGAGATCTCGTTTAGAGCGAGAGAACTACGAGACTGTTTTTCGCCAATCAAATAAGTAGTTACCCATTTCCTCGTCATCGCGTCCACTGTTCCAAATAACACGATTACATAGAACGGTAGACACGATGACGGTAGATAGTACATGGAATCTCAGAAACAGAAACGCAGTATCTCGTGGTTCACGCTCTCGCTCTCAGCGAGATATCGGCGGCCATTGGCGATAAATTTATATTTATTGCAACCAAAGTAACCGGATAAGGGTAATTGACCCTTTCTGAGTAATGCAGTATGGCGATAGGTGAGCATTGAAACTATGGAATATACTGCCCCACAGAATACGTCTCATCAAATGCACTGCTACAATAACATGCTTTTGTAAATTACTCACGCGATGACACATTCTTTGAATTTACCTTTTCATTACTTCCTGGATGTGAATAAATTAAAGGATGAACAACGCGTGTAGTTCGCTGTACGATCATCCACAACCTCTCCCATCGATTTCTTTGTTTTTTTGTCAGCCCTTTAAGAATTTCAGACAACGGAACGAAAGCTGTTAAGAGATTATGATATTATGAAGGTATTTCTTTAAAAAAACATGATTGTATTATGCGAACAAATGTGTTTATAATAAGCCTTTCATAAAATTATTTGACAAACATTTTGTGGACCGATGTCAGACAATTGTATTTCCCACAAACAGTTAGCGTACTACCATTTCTTATTAATATATCAATTATCGGTTATTTCCAAACATTGTATTTTTCTTTGAAATTATATCATTTTATTTTGTGATAAATAAATGAATAAACTTTTTCTTCTCATGTGCTGTCTTGAACATAGATGCCCTGAACGTAAATGTAGTTGAAAGTGAGAAGACCACGCGACCTCTTTTTTTCTATTTCAAATATTTGTCCATTCTTTCCCTTCATGGCGTACTGTTCTACTGAGTCATGCAAGCATTTGGAATTTGGAACAATGGAGGCGATGACGGACGAGAATTGGACATTATTTAAGAGCCAACGAGATCTCAGCGGTTATGTGTGTCCAAGATTTATTATTTTAACTCACAAATTCACGGAGATATAATATTACGTTGGTGATATGAAAATATTGTATCTGAATAGTTTTTATAAGTCATCTGAATAATATTTATATTGTATGATTCTGCGCATTACATGTTAATTTAAAATACCACTAGTATAATCATAACAGCAATATCAATACATTTATACACAGAATCGAAGTCACCATTAATAAGAATTTGAAAAAAAACCCGGCACTTTAACAGATGATGTTGGGAGATGATCTCAAAGTCACATGCATATAATTGGAAATATTGAATGGTTGTTCGATGCTGCGTCACATACCACGGTATAGTGATGGGCGTGGTCTTAATGGATTATAAGTAGCTTGTGTTAGTTGATAGATTATTTTTAGCATTTCGAGGGAGTGGATGGTATTTCACCTTTAAACCGAGGTTTAACCATAGCATATTTGTGTGCTTGTCCTGCACACTTTCAACAGTAGCTGTTTTATACTTGACACGTTACATGGGGCGTTTATATTGTAAAACTATATTTCAAAATCGTGTTAAAGGTGTATACTAATTTGAATGATGATACTAAAAATATGTATCACTCTGTGAGCTATGCGCACTGTGCTCTGAACGGATTATTATTGTAATATATTTACATACATTAATATTTAGCCATTTGACCCTGGTTCATATTTTTGTGTCATGGGATATTTTTTAGCTATCCAACTACAATGTACTATGCGATTGTAATAGTATTTTAGCTTCAGCATTGTTTATGCATACACTCACCACGACAATAATATATGCGTTATTTAAACCGAACACGTCACTTGTTTGTGTTTGTATGATACATTTGTGTACATTTGCATTGTCACTTACCTGTCTCAGCCTCTTTAGAGACATTCACCATGTGATAAATAGCATGACTGCATAACCTTGGCAAATAGAGGCAATCGGTGTGAAACGCTGCAGTTCCCACCGCGCGTAAACCTTCAGATTTATCGTTCGACACGCGGTATATGTCACGTAATGGCGACTTAGGATGTTGCGTGAAAAATGACGACTCTAGATCCCCGAACCATCTGCTGATTCTCACATGCCTTTTCGGTGAAATATTATGTTGATCTTTGAAAATCAATATGCGGTGTTCGGTCACGTCTTTTTTTATCTGTTCGGTCACTCTCCTTGGTACCGGATGGCCGATGTCAATACCACGAACTTCACATCCAAGTTTAACAGGTTTCAAATCATAAAATTCGTGCGATGTCACTGTTTTCATCACACTGCAACATAAGATGAACATCACCCAAAAGTCGCGAACACTGAACATAAATTCGACAAATGCCATTGCGATGGCGCGCAGGAGTTGTCCATGTACCCAGTAACTGTATACTTCTCATGATTTGCATATTTAAATGCATAAATAGCTACACTGGTATTCAGAACCCGGTCGTTGTGTCCAAATTGGGTCATCTTGATTGTTAATAAACGAGATCTTAAACTCAAAAAAAAAGACACTAGATTCAGCTACGTTTTTCGTCACAGAAATGTGATAACATACACGACACATACAGTTACGCACGTGTCAATCCATGTCAATATATCGTGCCCTCAAACAATTTAATCAAGAAATGCTATATAGTTCTGTATTTTTTTGTTTTGTTTTTTATTTAGAATATTTTTTATTGAGTCAAGTCCCTTAAAACATACATTTCAATTGTACTTAACAATCATATGAAATACCTTTACATAGTCAAAATAGTCTAAAATTTACCCCATTTCTTGGTATGTGCATTTAATTATCCCTTTTTGTTGGCAATAACGTATTCAGTCTTGAATAAAAGGTGTATGAAATATGAATTTTTCCAATACATTTGCATAAATGAAACCCTTAGCTACTAATAATAATAAAATACGCAACATTAGCGCATTGTTTCATGAGAAAGAGTATTTCTCAACCATTTATGTTTTCCCCATTCCTCAGAAAATGTCTCCCAAAACGACTGAACAAGAGGACAACAACGTATATTAAGGTGCATAATTATAGTTTTACATTTGTCATTATTAAATTATAGTTCATTTTTCATTGAAATTCTCTCAATTTAGTGTCTATTGTTATTTTGAACGGTAATTTGTAGATAGTTTCCCAGCCATGTACTCTCTCTCCCAGCAATTCTGAAATGACCTCCTCCGAGCGTGGGGGAATAAAACTTTGTGAAACAATAGCTTTAACAACTTGTTTTGCTGTACATTGATTTAACATAAAACCCCTGTTATTGAAAAGTTGTCCCACATAGTGAATCCCCACATCATCAAATTCATTGTAATAAACACTTTCATCAGCAATCAAGAGATTTTTGTTATTCCATATTATTTGATTCACGAGATGCACTTTTGGGGAGTAGTCTGTCACCGACTGCCAGGTTTTCAGCATACTGTGTTAAGTTTTAGTGGCAACATTCTAATGTCAAAATCACTTTTCTATATTTCCAACTTTAACCAAACTACATTTCAAAAACCACGGATGATTTAAGGTTTCATCAAAATAGCGGCGCATTCAGTTTATTCGCTGAGCGTCATGAATGGAAAACACATCTGGGACATTTGAACATTGTATTGTATTGTATATTTTATTTCACCATAAAGTAAATACAATAGGGTACTTGCTAAATACATAATGCTTTGTCATTATGGTGTGGAACATGACAAATAGCTCAATAAGAGCTAGTAAAACATCATGTCCCTACCCTAATTATAAACTAGTCAAATTATCAGAAATATTCTTACAAATATGCAAATGTATATGAGAATACTTAAAACTGGTCAAAAATATGTCATAAAAGTCAATAGAGTGACAATTGTTACATAAGTCAATACTGGGTTATTTATTACAGAGATACTGTTTAAGACCTTGTTTAAATGTGTATCGAGAGGTGATAGTTTTTAATGACACTGGCAATGAGTTCCAGAATAAGGTACTACTATAAATTACACTGTGTTGACTTTGAGTTAAACGTTTCCTTTCTACAAAAAAGTTTGTGTTTTGCACAGATCTTGTACTGTGCGAGTGCTGAATTGGTTGAAAATAATCTAGCACACATCTCGCATGATTATTATTTTTCAGATAAAAAATTAACATTCCTGTTTGTAATTTACAAAAATCATATATATTTAATATACCTATGTTTTTAAAGAGTGGTTTGAAATGATCATAAAAAATTGACCAATAAATTAGCCTCACAACTCGTTTTTGTAGAATAAATAGTGGCTTAAGGGTTGTTCCTTTTCCAATACCACCAATTGCTGTCCCACTGATAATCATATCAGGATCTCCTCACAAAAAAACAAAAATTTGCTTGTTAATTCTCTTTAAAACTTCAATACTAGGCTCAGTCATATTTAACTCATATAGCAAGGCTTTAATAATTTGCACATCTCAAAAATCCAGTTAATTATGCCCAGTATTTGGTGTAAAGTTAAAGCCTCAACATCAGTTAGTCGATGGCTGAAAACACCTTATTTGGAAAGATGCAGCAGCAAGAGTACATATTTGCTGGAATGAAAACAAATCAAATTCGTTAAATCACAGTTGTAAATAAAATTGTCCAGTAATGGTGTATGCAAGTTAATTTATTGACTTGTACATGAATTGGTGGTAGAAATAAAATGTACAGGAAGATTGCCTGTAGAAGATTTATACTCTGAAATGAATGAATTGTTTTGAGTCACTGAACGAGTCTCTGAAGCAAGAAACTGACACATTTTGCAGTGACGGTGAGATTTTCATTAAGAGGCGAGAATCCAGACTTTACCAATTTATTGATAAATTGGCGATAACATTTATTTACATGACAGAAATCAACAAATTTTCAATAAGTCTTGCTATACAGCGGGAAGAGTCCGCTTCTCACACCAATTTGAGATTGATTACACATTGTTCATCCCAATAGTGACCAACGGAAAGGTAGTTGTAGCCCAACGTTTTACATAATTGAACAAAAACATCCAGTAAACAGCCAATAACAGTACAAACTGAAAGGCTCAAGTCACAAGACCTTGACATAAAGGTTGAAAAAAGTTGGAATAACTCAAAATTGTTGCAATGTCCGGTATAAACTAATACAGAAGAGACTAGGGGTGAGTTGTCTCTTAACTACATTTCCTAACCCGGGCGTTTAAGTTCCCTTGATGAATTTAAAACATCACCACCACGCTCAGAGCGTCAACATTTTACATAAACCAATTTCGTTTCGTGATCAACAGCATCGTCATGCAACTGAAAAACTGTTCAAGTTCGAATATTATTCATTAGTGCTGATTCAACGAAACTACATGAGCAAAACTCCAGGCTGAGCAGAACTTGGCCAATGACAATTAAATGACAATTTTAACATTATCTTTGTGTAAGCATTCTGAAGCTGACATTGAAGTGAATAACTACTGTACGGTGTTGTTATAATATTGATGGAATTGATGGCAAGGTTTTTGAATTTTAAACACAACACGCTTTGGCAGCAGAAAATTGTTTGTGTGTTGGAGTTTGTAAAATATCAGTTCTGCTGTAAAGAACATTGATTCTTAACTAAGCAAAGTACCTTCCAAGCAAATTCATGAACGATTATCCAATTCTAAAGATTGAACAGAACCAATTTCGAGCTCGCTACCAGCTCTAAACTCAAGCGTCAAAATATCAAGTGGTCGTCGTGTGTTGATAACAGGAAATGAACCAATGGAATTAGTGCAATAGACGTGCCAAGTCATGGCAAAGTTTCTAAATCCCTAAATTGAACCTGTGAGCTAGATAAAAAGTAGTTGCTGCCACTTATTTGTGTGTTTACATCGGCAGTGAATGCTCCCGTAGAACCTGATAAATTGTCAATATGCAGTTGTATTTGACGAGCCTCTAATTGTGAAAGAGTCTGGTTGTTCAGCCATTTAAACGGTAGACATACAGAATCATAATGGTCAAATTCATTGGGATTGAAGCATTAAAATACCTTATTAACTTCCCTGAAATAAAAGCTAATCTATCAGCCTCAACTTGAAAAGCTAGTTAGTTCATTGATGTGTTACTGTTTGCAGTGTCTATCACTAAGCCAGGCCAAGTTAGTAGCAGGTTCATGTCAGTAGCGGAAAGTACCACCTAACACTACATAACACTACAAAATGCAAAAATGTTGTTGAGTCAGCATCTCAATGTCCATTTTCCCGTACAAGTGGGGGAGATTTTTATTGTTAACGGGTTCCCACACCTAACTGGTAACGGGTATGCAGTGTTTATTTTGTATGGGTTATAATAGCTGTGGCATTTGTTGTATATTGACATTGTGCTGTAACCTAATTCTTATTGTATGCAATAAAGAAGAATAGCTGAAAAAAACAAAATACATTGTATACACACATCACATGATATTCCGATTAGGAGGAGGGGTTTATTATAACGATTCATATTATTCTGAAAGAATTCTTCATTATTGTTTATTCTTTTGTGAAAACTTACCGTGATTTGTATCTATAGTTATTACATTATTTTGACATGTCGACTTCTCCGGTTCAAAGCCAACGTTGAAGTGACGTTGATTACGAAACACGCGATCACGGCCATGATGCGTGATTGGGTAACTCTAACTCAATAAATAAAACTACACGAATACTTAGAGATACATTCAAAACTACAATAATGATAAAGCAAAGTCAGAGAAATTACATTCCTTCCCACTAGGGAATGACATTACAATTATATGGAAAGGGAAACCTTTAAAAAAACATACAGTGCAAGCTACTCCATCAAATACAGTTGTCGTCACAAGTCCGTACAGGTTATGTTTGCAAAATACAGAAAAAACATGAAATATACATTGTATGTAAAACTAATAATAATTACATGGAACATAATGGCTCAAAACTAGATAGAGGCTGGCTTATTCTACCTGAACGTGTGACAACAAGTGTTTGGGTTGTTGGAACCTGGTTTAATTTACCTTTGCAATAACAATTGAGTTAGGATGAGAAATAGATATTTCATCTCTATTTAGTAGCTGCTCAGTGTCTGAGGACATAACACTACTTGGTATAAGGTGTTCACTCCATCGGTAACGCTGATCAGAGTACTGTTCTGACTGCTGATTTTGTTCAAATTTGTCATTTTGACAGTCATCAGGAATGAGGTAATCAAAATGAACAAATCGTTTATTATTCCCTGGCACTCTTACTAAATATGTTAATGCGCCTTTTGAAATTATATTGTTAGCGTAATGTATTCATAAATACAGAGAAATGTAAGGGCATATGTCTTCATGTGGATTCAGAAATATCAGAAGTAAAAAAAAAAAAGAGAAAATTAGTTATACGAAACTGAGTTGAATTTGCTGTTTTATATTGAATAAATCACTGTAATAAAATGACAACTACTGTATTGTGATGAAAGATAGTAAGATTACGCCCTCAATGTTACCATGTTATCTATATTCGTCGGACTCACCAAGATATACCGCCATTCTAGTACATTGTTGACATGGGTCCACCTCGAAGTATGATCTGTCGCCATGCATTGTGTCTCACATTCATCATCATTTGTTTTGCTGTGGTGAACATGGTGCAATCGCATGAATTTTATGACTTGAAACCTGTCAAGTTGGGATGTGAAGTTCGTGGCATTGACATTGGAAATTCTATACCTGAGGAAGTGATGGAACAAATAAAAAAGGACGTGATCGAGCACCGTCTGTTAATTTTCAAAGATCAACATAATATTTCACCGGAAAGGCATGTGAGATTCAGCAGATGGTTCGGGGATTTGGAGTCGTCGACTTTCACGCCACATCCTAAGTCGCCATTACGAGACATATACCGCGTGTCGAATGACGGTTCAGAAGGCCAACGTGGAACAGGAACCCTGGCATGGCATAGTGATTGCTTGTATATGTCAACGATTTGCAGTTATACATTATTTCATATGATAAATGTTTCTAAAGAAGCTGAAACAGGTAAGTGACACATTTAATAGATGAAGATTTTTTATAACATCATATTTTTACAACAATTGTTTGGCGTTGATTGTGTATTACTGATTTTTCGTGACACATAACACTATCTCATGTGTATCATTCCACGAAATGAATCAGAAAACAATGACAAAGTAGACAAAGTAAAAATCTACAGATTCTTCTACCCCATATCCGAAGAAAATTTCGTTCCCAAAAACATGTTATCCAATTTAATACAATTAAATCAACATACACTAGAGCTTAATATATAATCATCGTTTTATTTAAAATAAAGCAACTCTATATGAAGGATGCTGATTAGTGCACATGTGTTGGTTGCATTATATAATGTTATCGTTATGTTGCACATGGCTATGTGCGGCTGAAATGGTGCCTTCTTAAAACGACTGATGAATATTACACTTGACATTGCACAGCATAGTCATCATTTCGATTGTTCAATTTTCATGTATGTTGCATTTATTTGTGCATACTATTTTTTTTTATAATTGATTGAAATTGTTCATGTAACAATCTCTCGTAATACTGATGTTCTCAAATTGCGCATTTGCATTTAATCCCGTGGGTGAGCTACACTTTATGTTTTCTTGACGAATCTCCCTTAGATCACATTCTGGGGACAGAATTTGGCTTTCAGCAGGTTTTATTTAAAATGTATATAATTAGGTTTTAGGTTATTTTGTTTACCTGACTTTGGAATGAATATTATTTAAATCTCAATGTTTTGTGGTTACTGTGTTGAAAATGACAATTTTCTTCTAAATGGAACGCTATTTCAACTACTAGTATTCACATTAAAATATTGCTTAGTTGTAAGTATATGACGGCCTTATGACTCGCGATTATAGAACTTTATACAATTGTTTTTTTTTTCTTATTAGCAAGATTTAATAACATATACTTACAACTTACCCATCTTTCCAACCATGTTTACTCTCTAATAATAAGGGTAAATTTTAGGAAAATTGATAGAAAAGTTCTTATGCAGTCAGGCAAGCAGATCCCACATGTTCTGTTTACCTATTCACTGATTCTACTAACTTGCTCCATATGGTCATGCAATCAGACATGTAACTACCATGGAAATCATTCATCATATATTTTACATGGTAAATGTTTGAAAGCAATAAATTTATAAAATTATATGATAGCGTAATGTGTACATGAGAAATGTGAAGCATATGTATTCATGTGGAGTCAGGAATATCAATTGGAAGTACAAAATAATGAAAACTAGTTACACAAAACTGAGTATAAACTTCAAACAAAGCTCTAATCACATTCAATGCATAAAATGACAAAGAACAGAGATACTTCCATGATACGATACATATACACTGATAACAAACCTATCATTGAATTTGCTGTTTTATATTGAATAAAATAAAATATAAGGACAATTACTGATGTGATGAAAGATAGTAAGACTACGCCCTCAATATTATATTAGGTTATATTAGTTGAATTCATTAAGAACTACTGGCATTCCAGTACATCGCTGATATGGATCCACCTCGAAGTATGATATGTCGCCGATAAAAGTTGTCAACGCATGTTGGTAGGACGTGTCGTAACCAATCTTGTACTCGATTTGGTCTACAATGAATGACCTTCCCTGATGTGATTGTGGAACATTTAATGGCGTATCTCTTTTTCAAAGTGAACTTGATTGATTTGAACGTTTTAGAAACAAAATATTTGAAACTATATCGACCATGAGTAGCTCCAAAGACAATGGTTGACTCCGCCCTAGATTCGGATGCAATTAGATCGAGTCACGACAGCAAATACTCCTTTTATGATATCCTGCCAAATGATGTTATTGTAAACTTGCCTTGCCTTTTCTTTGAACATTTTGGATACTATAGCTCTCGTCGTTTGATCAAGCGACGGGGTGCTAAGAAATTACTTAACAATGTACAAGATATCATCGTATTGCTCCAGGAAATCGGTTCCATGTTTTGCTGCTAGAGACTTCTCAAAATTCATGTTGTTGCTGAAGGACAATAGCCAATCGAAATGTGACATTTAGGCGTTTATGACCGTGTAGGTGTGATGAACATGTGTTTAATGGATGTTTTAAAGATATTCGTGACCTTAAAAACAAGCCGTGTCTGTCAGTGTCCACCAATCCGAATTCGCAACATCCTGAGTGTCAGTATGAAATTCTCGCTACCATGAAAGGTGATCATAACATTTTGATTGCTACTCGAAAATCCACCGACCAGACGACTGAGGTGCATAAAAGAATGAGTGTTTTCGTGTCCAGACTGGGTCCTGATACTACAGCTGAAATGCTAGATACATATATATCAACCAATATGAACGTCTTAATACTAAGTTTAGTACATACTATTCACATTGTATCACAACTACAGTGCCTAATTTTCATACAATCATAAAAACGAGTGCCTGACTAGAAGGAGTATTGGCAAGTACATTCCTCGTCGTAACTATTGCAGCACTTTAACATTCTAACGTATAACTCTAGGGCTATAAAGTCTAGTAGACCAATTGCCAATAAACTATGTAATGACTGTGATATTTGCCTCATTCAGAAATATTGACTAACAAATGGCAACCTTTGATACTAATCTACGATTCAAAGTGATATGAATTTGATGTTTCGGCCATTGATATAAGCAGTTGTATACTTGTTGGTTGCCCCATGAAGGAACAGTTATCTTATGGAAAATCAGAACATTTATTGACCAGAGATTGCTTAGTTTGGATATAGCTTCAGAGGACAACAATAGGCTCTTTATTTTGTGTGTTTATCTTCCAATGAATAATCTTAACGCTGTCATTCAGGAAAGTAGTACGCCAAATATTCTTTTTATTGGCAATTGAAATACTGATCCCCGTTCGCAGTTCTATTTCGATAACGGGTTGCGTGATTTCTGTAATACTGTCGAATTGCGAATCGCGGACATTGAAATGCTAGACAATTCGGGTGACAACTTTACATATGTGAGTGAAGCACATCATACGACCTCATGGCTAGATCACTGCATTGCTTCTAATACTGCATATTGTGCAATCATTGATATTAACATTTCTTATTATTATGTTACATCATATCATATGCCTATGATCATTACCTACCAGTGTAGTAGCTTGAAATCATGCAACTTAAAGGGCGGTAGTTGTCGCGCCACGTATGCGCGAGATATATGGGTCTCATATAACAAAGATGGCGACTTCGACTGTTGCGCAGATCGACGAGTACAAACTGAGACGTTTCCAAGCTTTAATTAGGTATTTTTAGGTGATTGGAAGGTATCGAAGGAATCACCGGCAGTAATCAGTGAAAGTCGCGCCCAGGTCAAACCTCATACTTTCCATTTCAAGAGCGTATTGGATTGTGGGAAAATCAACGTTTATCAACACAAATGTCGCACATGCGCAGCGCGACGACCACCGCGCTTTAATTAATGGGAATTGCAAGAAGCGATCTATGCGTGTTGACTGGTCTAAAATCACAATGGTACAAATAAACCATTACACATGTGCACATGTTAACTGTCAAAATAATGTCCATGAAAGCAATATTCATGATTATTACGAGAATATTGTCAACTCTCTTAAAAAAAAGCGACGGACTTAACATTCGTGCACAAGAAGGCTTTTGCGTCTTTCAAACCTGTCCCCGGATGGAATGACATTGTTAAGAATGTGCACAACTTTGCACGTGAGTGTTTTTGATTGTGACATCTTGCTGGCAATCCAAGTGGGGGCGCTGTTCATGATACGATGAAGTCGGCGAGGGCCAAATTCAAGTACACCCCGCGCAACTGCAAATATGACATTTCCTTCGGTACGCAGTATTCTCGGGGG